AAGAAGTTCAATAGCATTTATAACTGGACAATGAAACGACTGCGCTCTTTTGCTTGCTTTGGCGTTGTTACATTGCAACCTAACTGATTACAGCTCATTGCAATTTCTTGTTGCGAAACAAGCCAAGTAAGTGATGCCTTATGTTCCAGTAGTTCTCCATCTTATACACAGAGCGATTTGTGTAGAATCTTGAAACACTGCCCCTTGCGTCACTCCCTCCGCACGTAAGCAGACGTGACGTCTGGGGACTCCTTTTGGGGCTCGTGTTTCGGAAATTCCCGCCTAATTTCCCCGCCAATTTTTCCCCAAAGGGTAATCCTTAAAGGTACGCTAGGGTCTTGGTCTGGATGCACTGTGTGGGAGTTCCGATTACAGCAAGAGAAGTGTGGCGTCACACTAACGGAAACTGTTTCTTGTTTGTAAGCTCATTTTGAAACATTCATGTCGTTACCCCCATATGATCTCCGTTAATGTGAAAGTACGGCCTTTGTGTTTTTGAGTGTATAGGATGTTGCAGTTGTTATTTTCAAGAGGAAAAAAGTCATCAGGTTTGACTTTCAATTTCAAAGACCAAATGAAAAGAGCACATCCGGATTATTTTTAACTACTCGCATATGGTACCGCTCATTTTGCGACAAATCATTCCAGTATAAACGTACGAATTATTATGCGAATGTCAACTAATTCATCCGAAACATTGTCCACAGATGTTTCTGAGCGTCTTGGAAGGCACACGAAATATCAGCGGACAAGTATTTCACGATGTTTTAGTGTAGTGGTTTATGTTGAAAATGGTATGATCTGATTGGTCCTTGTAGTGTATGTAATGTATTGAGAGAAACTTCAAGATGGCCGCTTGGTCTCAATGATCTGTGTTACATAATAGAGTAACAATTCGAAGAAGAGAGAACGAGATTTCAGCAAATTTTGCCAATTCCAAAATGTTGTCATTTTGTTTCCATTCTCCTTTGCTCAAAAACCGAATCAAGAAATATCCCTGGCAATGCTCAAATTCTAGGTACAATTAGTTATCATTTAGGGGTTAAATTTTAGGCACCATCGAGTTTTAAAATCGGGTTTTGCCCTGCGGCGACTTAAAATCATAATGGCAAACTTCAGTTGAAAATACACTTCGTTATGGGAATTGTCTTGGGCATTTACGCAGACGATTAAAAACACCGTTACAACTTACAAGTTCCAACCGATCGATTAGTGATTTTGCTCCATTCCCCCGAGACCATCCTCAAAAGATGGCTACTGGTTCAGCAATATAATATACCACAAGCTGAAGGAAGCTGTAGATAATACATCCAGAAGCAAAACAAAAACTGCATCTTAGATATCCGTGGCCGTCAGCGGTATGGGGAGTTCTCTGATTTGCCCTTGGGCAGTTGCTCTTTCAGAAATCCCGCCGTCTCTGAGCTACACGGTCGGGGAGGTTCTTACAACCCCAATTCCGAGCAGAGTAACAGGATATGCGATGCTTTCTCAAGCTGGTAAATGAATTGCCCAAGAAAAACAGACGGGGGGATGGCGGGACAATAAGAATGCTCCAGGGTAAACTTGACAGAATACCTCAAACTGAGAGGAATCAACAAAGGAGATCTGGGACGCAAGGGTGTGTGAAAGAAACACTAATATAAAACTCGACGGAGAAGGGTGGCACTTTTTTTCCTTCTTGTCCCTTGGTTTTGTATTTCGGACCCTTATTTGAAGGAAACACTATATTGGCTATCTGTGACCGCGCTACGGCAGCAACGGGTGGCTGTGTCGTGTGGTAAGGTTCCAAGTGACGGAGCTGAACTTGTTCGCAGTGTTCCCTTTCCAGCACTTTGGAAATTGTGCAATGATTTAATCATAAAACTTTCCTCTCCTTTGACAGTTTGTTACAGATTGATAACAGAATTCGGTGGCTAACCTCTGTCTATCGTAGTCTCCTTCTCGTTTGTCAATCAAGACGAATTACGGCTACTTGAGTGATGCATCTTTGCAATTATCTCATTAAGGCTCCTTCGTGACTTGCTTGCAAACTCCTGTCTCGGTATTCTCGGCAGTGCTAACTACGGGTGTATAATGCGGCCTTGCACAGTCAAGATGTTGGTTTAATCATTCCCTTTTAATGGATTCATCGGCTTTCATGTTGGTCGCTTGAGTTGCCATGCCCTAAACGCTTCAGCGTGACTTGTTCTCCCATTTACCTTTTGTAATTCAACGTTTGGCGACTCCTCAGTCACTTAAGAAAAGCTCAGACAACGGATGTCTCGGTTTTTGAGATCATGTCGCCCCTGACACTGGAGTGATTACAGGTCTCCGACCAGATGCTCTAGTTTTTCCCCAGCGCAAAGATGATCTTAATTGGAGAAATATCCATCAGTGACGGATGGCTACCCCTAGACGAGAGCTGTAAGAGTGCACTAGGGAATACGCAATGCTGGGATTCTGTGAATTTTACTTTGGAAAACCGAAAAATATCTTCGAAAGTCGCGCAAGGTCATTTTGATATAGTCCTAAAGCAGAAACAAATGGTTCGAATGCTTGGCATTAAAGGCATGTTTGGTTGACTTTGCTTGTGCTATTGGCGGGTTCGCGGCATCGGACTATCACATAATCGAACCAAGTTGGAGAAGGCCAACATGGGACTGTTCAGCTCAGTAGGTAGAGCGCTGGTTCGGCGTTCCGGAGGTCGCAGGTTAAAACCCCGCCCAGTCACTTGCTGCGTCCAAACACTGGACAACATGTCTACCAAAATATTGGTTTATTGAGATATAGCAAACGTAATGATCGCAGCCATTTGTCATTCATGGTTTATAGTAGCAAGCTTGTAAGAAAATACCCACATGCCCATCCGTGTGTTTGAGTGCATTTCTGTTTAGAAAAATAAAGAGGATTATCAACATTATGATCCATGAATCGTATGTTTTTTCTTGAATTCAAAGAGGAGAAAAAAACCTCCCTGATTGGTGAATCAGCTTAACAACAGATAGCTCTATGGCAACACAATCCATATAGAATACCTGTCTCAATATCACTTCTTCAGCTCATTCATCTCGTTAAATCGACAGCTACCTGAGGTGAGTATTGTCCGAGACACCGTGTGGAGCACCGTCGAGTGTTAGCCAACGTACGGACCCACAGACACCCCAACTGATTAAATTGAAAATGTAGGTTAAAAAGCAGGAATCTGGACTATGGGTCCTCCATCCAGGATATATGAGCTCCAGCTTCAGCTAGGCTTGCCCACCTTATAGACCCAATGAAAATCTTTTTGAAGAGGTACTCCAGTACATCGCAACGAGGCACTTGATGAGCAGGCAGACGGCTGTTGATTCCCCAAAGGGATGAGCAGTCAAATGGCTGTTGACTCCCAGAGGGCGGAGGCTTCTTTTTCTACCAATGTCGGAGTCTCTCTGATAATTGTGCCGCCAGATGCGAAAACATGAGCGGCCCGCCTGTTTTTAATTTCCAGCAATAGGGGCAATTTCATTATAGCCTGGCGTCTCCACTGAACGCATGCAACAGCTGATACAATGGATAATGAGCGTTTGATCAAGTATTTATTAAATAACCTCCTTTTGCTGGCGCAAATCTGTTTTAATTGTATCTTCAAAAGGCAATTGGCATCATTTTTTATACAATAGTAAATGAGAAAGCAGATGAATTTGTTAGTTCAACTTAATTGTAATTGTATTCTCCGTCAGAAAGACGCTCACAATATTCAAGAGATGGCAAGTTACTCTATTTGTTTAATTGATTCAAAAACCTTTTATCTTTCTGGTAATGAAACCAAACTTTCTTCAAAAAAGTACAACGATGTCATATGAATGTTTTACTCCTATGAAATTTGGTCTCCTTTACTTATATGGACGGAAACCGTCACACGTGGTCTGTCACTGTCCAATTGTCTTCACTTAGGCATGCGCAATACAACCAATGAGTCAGTGTTTCATAGCGTCCAAATACATGAATAAACCTGAAGAGAGAAGTGGGTGAAAAAATCGATCGGTTTCTAGAGGTGGAAGAAAAAATCTTTTAAATTATGTCAGATACCAACAGATCAGCAAGGACTGAACACCAGTTTCACATGTCGGCCCGGTGGGATTCGAACCATGTCCACTGAAGGTGGAAGGCGAGGACAGTAGCACTACACCAACTTCTACGAAACAATGTTAGAGAACTTGTGCAATTTGCAAAACCAACTTAGGCCTATGTGCAACGAGATAGATAAACCAATTGAACAAACTAACAAACACGGTACTTAAAATAGACCATAAAATACAAACCTAGCAAAAGTACTATCACATGGATAAGTCATAAGTTATTCCGCATCTGCTTTCCACACATCTGATTGACTTGCATGCATAGAGGAATGCAAAACCTAATGCACTTATTAAATCTAAGACGTGTACAGTAGATGCATCTGTAGACGAATCTGGACACGTGATCACTGCCACTCAACGTGTTTGAGTGGTTATTCATCAGGCCCATATAATGTGAATGTCGCATGTTTGACGTGAAGTGCAAATGACCAAATTATGACATTTTGTGCCCAATAAGATAAACCACACAAAAGGTGACCTTGATCGGCATTTATTTTCATTTTCTGGGCCACAATTATCGATCCCGAACTCACATCGTTCTATATAATGGTCTCTAATGACTCCCGATTCACCACCGTTTTCTGGTAGTCAACATTACAAGGCATTATCAAAAATTTCATTAAAGTAATGTGCCACGGCATGCGCAATTGTACGTGTAGCCATATATATACATAACATCACCACTGAGTATGCAACTTCAGTGTAGACCTGCAGATGTACATATATCTTTTTCAATTTTGAATAAGTGTCCATTGTGTCAGTGTGGCCAGCCCCTTGGTCATCTGTTTCCCCTTTCTTCAGATGTCCTCCTTCTTCTTTCCTTTTCTTCAGAGCCCGCAAATCCCCGATTCTTCAATTTCCTTGAAGTATCGGGTTTCGAGTTTAATTCCAGTTTCTCAATCAGTTGTGGAGAGCAGCCATATACCTATAGTCCTTTGTAGAACGTGTCTGGGGTTTGGTCTTCTGAGGAGGTTACGTGACGGTCACCGAAGGAGTTTTATAGTTTCTGAAGGATTATCTTCCTGTAATAGAAACTCCAACTGCCGGATGAGTCTGTAGGTCGGTGTCATGTCGTTGCAATAAATCTCAGAGAAACTGCGCATATTTTACTTACGTGGAGGAATTTTCATATCATAAATCTGACCATAAAAAACGACTTGCTGGATCAGAACCTGGGTACCCAACAAAATACATCGGAAAGAGCCTGTTTTGGGTGTTTTAGAAATGTACCATTCATTCGTCTCATAGAGTTACTTGATCGTGCCTAAGACATTTATCGTAAGAAAAGTCAGAGAATTGGTGGTTTTTATTAAATGAAACATACATGCATAGTTTATGTAAATTATTGCAGGAAATGACAATAAGGCATAGAAACTATCAAAGGTGTATGTGTTGTTTATGGTTGCTAGAAAACCTTTTTGCCGCTTTATCATTTTACAGATGACACCACCACGTTGAACAGATAACGAAGTCAATTAATCACAATTAATACCAATCTGTATTTCCAACATTTGTAAAAAAAATTCATGTTTACAACACATAAAGAATACTGCATTTCTACTGAGCTGTCTTCCTGTTTCTCACCATTACTTCCCCCAAAGATTTTTGCCACAACACTCTCTTTAAAATTCTTCAAAGAAACCATATGAACTTATTACATACAAAAACGATTGTACAATGACAAAATACAGTATTCAAAGTAATTTATACACTGGCTGTGCTCTAAGTGATTAAAGTCACATTCGTTTTGTTTTATTCATCTTTGATTTATGCGATAAGTAAACAGTGCCTGGCCTTATACAATAGCAGATCATAAACCAGATATCAAACTCTGCCAAAGATGTCTTCCATAATTCGTGTTTATTGGTCCGCGAAGATTTTTATCTGCTCGTTAGGGGGAACTGGCGACTTGTGGTGGTCGTTTCTCAACGGAAGCGTGTTCGAAGAAAAATGAAAACCTTCTTGGCAGGTCTTTTAAACCATTCAGGCTTTTCAAATACGGAGACTGGGGCTTTGTGCCTGGAGCCCCGCTTGTCACTTTGATGGGCAGAGATATTACAATTAGTCGTCAATACTGGGGCCTGATCGGTTCCATTTGTGGTCAGAGAGGCGGCAAATTGGGTGATTCACCTTCATTCATAGTTCGTCCCCATTGTGCCGAATAACTGATCGCGCCCAAATACTCGAAAAATATACCGTCCACGACTAATGGCACAACTCGCTGCCAGGCCACCCAGCTCATTGTGTTGCAAGTCCTCGCTCGAGTGACTGCTTAAAACTGGTGCTGCAGTGTACGCGTGTATGCAGCGTATATACATGTATGTCCTGGTCTGCGAGTGCAGACGGTTCACAGCGTTGATTGAAGAGGGAGTCAGCGGGATCTGGTCTGGCGCCCGCCGTACACTCGGCATTTGATGTGGTATCAAGCAACTTGATGAACAACGTATCCATTGAAGACGCCGTCGAACTCAAACCCCTGCACCGTGTCTTCCCAGTCCATGCTAGCAACTTGATTTTCTAAGAAACTGGTTGGAGGACGAGAAAAGCTCGGGATGGAACGCATTAAAAATCGTTCTTAACATTAACATCGTTTCACCTGCAGAAGTGGCGCTATTTAGGCCAGCTAATGCAACGCAAGGCCTTGAGGAGCCCAAGGGAAGACGGAGAGTCTTAGGTGCAGCGCGTCTCAGCTATCAGGTAAAAACAAGTCTGATGAGTGTTTGTGTAGAGAAATTGACTTGATAGCAGATCTCTTAATCGAATACGAATAGCAGCGGAGTTGCAACTATCATCATTCGTTTAAGGTAAGATGGATTGTGTTTTCTTACATAATAAGTAGACGACGCAATCTGTAGAGTGGCATTTAAGGAATGTTAATTCCTTGGACTTTGGCGTTCTACTTTGGGTTCAAGCTCTTTTTGCCGTTTCTTTCATCATTTTTACTAATCGGCGGAGGAAATGGACGGGGAGGAGACGTGCTCCCCGAACGCTTAAAAGCACTTTATGAAACAAAGATAGCTGAGACGAGATGGCCCAGTGCCCTACAAGCCAAGGGGGACATATTAAAGGTGTTTTGGTGCTCAATGGAGGAATGTCCCGATGTGGCAGTTAAAAGATGTCCTGAGGCGTTTTCTTGGACATTGTATAGAAATAGGTTTTGGACTGCAGATGGCTCATGTTTATTCTATAATTGTATGGCTTTTTGTGGAATGGTCCATTTTCTGTTGGATGTCCGCTAATGGACATGTTATTACCGAATCCCGAATGAACGTTTCACATCGAATTTCCAATTCCATAGTTTTAAGGATTGGGATTATATCTATTTTCTCGAATATGAATTGAGAACGTGAATTTGAAGTTAAATTATATAGTTATTCTGATGCACACCAGTACGTTCTTGCAAAGATTAGACAAGCGGAGATTTTCATGGTATTCTTTAAAATGGGTAACTTCGTTAACAAAGAAAATATTTGCCCCTAGTTAGCAAGCAGTTAAAAATAAAACTTTTGATGTGCAAGTTATACAAAAACCTCTGTTTTAAAATGAGTGATATTGAATGATACACTATCCTAACACAGAAACTTAGAAGCATGTCGCGTTGCTCAATCTCATGAGCAATGCTTCAAATCAATATGACTTGGCCTTTGAATTGATTTACATATTAATTACTTTTTAAAGCAGCCCAATTCTCCTAAACAAATACCTTACTCTCGCTTGCATCCTGTAGTTTGCATTTCCAAAAAAAAAACCATTCCATTGTAATATGCCCATTTATTTACAATCCTTTGGACAACATGGTTCTGTCATCGGCGAAAGATCCTTATATAGCGCATCCTGTGCGCGAGCATTTAATTATTGTACACGTGAAATTATTTCTTGGTCGTTATTTTCTTATTAATGTCCGAGGTAATTATTTGGTTAGAACGACATAGGGTCCCCTTTGTGAGCATGTCGACAATATACAATGTCGTGCAAAAAGATGGAAATTTAACCTACTTACTTAACTTATTTGAACGGACTTTTTTACAATGTAGTGAAGTGTAGCTCTTCAACCATACGCGGTGAAAAAAATCTTTGAAAAAAATCGCAAGAATATTAATTTGAATACAAGTCACCAAAGTAAGTGTTGCACGTGTAAGTCCAGTGTAGTGTATTTTGTCTTCAAATCAAGCTCCGGAGCTCAGTCAGGCGGATGGAATAATTGTAGCCGTCTGTGGACAAACAGGTTTGGCACATGACATTTTTAAACTACCATATCTCAGAGACAAAATATGCAATCGCAATAATTTTTTGCGTGACTTAATATTTTAATACCGTTAAATTGAATTTTTGAAGTATGCTTAACAAGTAGGTGAAAATTGCTGTCAAAAGTGGGTTTCCTTCTTTTTGTACCACCCTGTAGAGTAGGCCTACATGTAGTTCAGGATTTCACCAGGAAAAAAAGAAAAACCGCAGATGTAGTTGTAACTCCATCCAGTTTTCAATTACAGCAAGAATGAAAATGTAAATCGAACTTCCTGAACGACTTCCTGTGTACGTTGAATTTTAATGGTACATGTATTAAGTTCAGATCAAGTATTCCCACCAGGAACGTCGAGGTAGCACGATGTACATGTACCGCTTTGTAACTTGTCTGTAGTTCTAAAAATCAGCAACTCGCTCTTTCGGGCAGTATGCTAAGACTGTCTTCGGATCGCCTTCTTACAAAATACTGTATTTCTCTTTGTACACAATATATACTACAGGGTGTTGCAACAACGAAGGAAACCCACCTTTGACAGCAATTGTTTTCCTACTTGTTGATTATATTTCAAAAATTTAAATTAATGGTATTAAAAATATTGATCTTTAAAGATAAGTGACGAAAAAAAATGATTGCAAATGCAATTTTTTGTCTCTGAGATATGGTAGCATAGAAATGGCATGTGCCAAACCTGTTTGACCACGGACGGCTTTATTCCATCCGCTTGACTGAGCTCCGGAGCTTGATTTGAAGACAAAAACACTTCACTAGACTTACACGTGGACAACAGTGATCTTGGTGACTTGTTTTCAAATTAGCATAATAACACTTTTCTTGCGATTTTGTAAAAGATATTTTCACCATTTATGGTTGAAGAGCTATACAAAAAACCCAGATCAAATAAGTTAAGTAAGTAGGTTACAACTCCTGTCAAAAGGGGGATTAAGTCTTTTTGCACCACCTGTACTGATAACCAAAGCATATTGACGATCACTTTTACTAACATCACTATTGCCATTTTTGTTTTGCTCTTTGGCAAATTTAACGTCTTAGACAATGTTCAGTCTTCACTTATAAAAGGAAAACAGTCTTGGGGCAATGTTTTTCTATCGTACAATAAATAAATCTTTGGGTTTGTTTTTTTTCAAAGTTAAGCAAAGATATTGATTGGAGCGGGGTTTGTCAATGTCCTTGTTCAACAATCTCCTATTCCATGTAAAAGACAGCGTTCAAGGAGATCTAGTCCCTGGATTGATGACCACAATAAAAGTATGGTTGTTAAAAAACGTAGGGCCTTTAAGCTTGCCAAGCGAACTAGGTTCGATGAGCACTGGCATGCCTATAAAAAAAACTCGGAATGAGGTTAAAAGTGCTGTTAATATTTCCTATACCAGACATGTTGACCAGCTTTTTCGTTCTGAGAATGATAACAAAAATAGATTCTTCTCCTTTGTTCGTAGCCAGAGGAAAACACCGTGTCCCTCTGTCATGAATAATCATGGTGAGATTGTGCATAAGCCTGAAGTGATTTCCACAATGTTTGGGGATTACTTTAACTTTTAAGATTCAGAGCTTCCTGGTACTCCTCCCACGTGTCAATTCCCACTCCCACCTGTCTTTGTGTAGCCAGAGGTATTTGAATTGAAGGCCTTCGGGCCACAGTTTTTAGGTCAACTTTTTTAATTCCGGGCATATGCCCCTGGCTTTCGTTTTTGTTTTCTTTGTTTGTTTTTTTTTCTTATATTTTGTGAATGTTTGTTGTTTGTATGTGTTTTTAATGCCGAAAAAATAATAATAATAATAAATATCCTAAATTGTTGATATCAGTTACATTTTACAAACTCGTCGAGAGCCTTTACCCCAGAATGTAAGTTGTTTACACTTCGAGCAATCTTGAGCAAAAAAAGGCGAACATTAATTTTTCCTGCATTTGAGGGCGTGCAAAGCTTTAAAAGAGAAACCATGACTGTTTTAACATCGAGCATAATTACGACCACTGGTGACGATTATCCTCAAATCGCCTGAACAAGTGACTTATGCTGTTGACAGACATCGCAAATTCCTCTTTCTAATTTACTAGCTATCCAACTGCACTTTCTCAGCGCCGACGTCCACCAAGAATTTCAATTCCACTTTCAATCACCGATTTCAGTGAGGCATTCCCAAAGGGATCTCCCGGATTTTGATACGTTTTAACTTTAATTTGAGCCCGCAGGTAAGACGGCCAATACACATAGAGTAAAAGAAGCAAAGCAACTTGGGGAAAATTTCTTCCCCAGTGACGCAACGTTATATTGATTGCTTCGGCATGGCAGTCATTAACATAATTTAGACCAACAAAATGATTTGGTGGGTTTTTTTTTCCCCGACGTGATATTTGATATTTCTGTGGCGACATGTTCAATTTTTAGTAAATGTTTGGCCTCTGGACATCGCAACAGACAATGATATGGCGTGAACGGTAGACTGTGTATCAACCATCACCTCGTGGGAACTAAACATTGTGGGAACTAAAATCGTGGGAGCTAAAATCTCCAAAGCAGACATTGCACGCAAATGTTTTCTAAGACTACTGGAGACCTTGAAGATCAAAACCCTTCAAGATTTTGGTTAAAACTTCGACAATAATGGCAGTATTTAGAGATTAATTTAAACAGATATAGGGATAAGCTGTTTTCAGACAGAGGGTGCTGGAAGTACGTGTTACTCAGGAACTACGATGAGCTATACATAAAATCTTGTCTTTTTATCCCAATAGTATACTTCTGAACGGATTTAAAGGTTTAATGTACTTAGGCCTAGTGAGTATAAGCCTACTTACGAGAAAGCACGGATTTAAATCTTAAAGTTGTTGTAGTTTACTTTCTGTCGTCTGTCGTTCCTGCTGCATGGCTTTTAAACCACTAATGCACGAGGATGCACAAAAATACTTTTATTTTGTAAACAAAATCAATGTAATTCAATTCAATTCAATTTTGCTTTATTGTCAGCATTGTTAAAAAAAAATACAGATGGACATTTTAAAGTCCATATTGCGTGTTTTGAATGTGTTTGTATACCGTTCGAAGCTGTCTTGATGTTATGGTCATAAAAAGGACTCGTGTAGGTTTTCGCTCCAACTTCCCGTTACAGTTTAGTTTTGAATCTGTTGATGATGTGGTATAATTGTCGAAGAAGTGTGATGGTTTTATTTTCATATTCTTTATTAAAACATGTACTGAGTTTTTCGTTGTTAAAATGACGCTATACTGACATCACTGCACAAGTTGATGAACATAACTGAATAAACCTGCACATGACCAACACGACAGTGTAATTTTGACCAATTTGGTAAAACATGTTTGCAACATTTAGATGTGACCATGTCTGACTTTACCAATTTTATTGCCATCTGATATAGTTGGTATTTAGAAGGTGCAAGTTCAGACTCTTGCAATAACACCAGTATGTATCATATCTGAACATGAAACCTTTCGGGGCATATTGACTTCTCAGTAAATTTTCACTACGAACAACTCGAATCCTCTCACTTCCATTTCAACTCTTTGATGGCGACTCAAA